ATATGACATATTTAGCTATAGGAATGGTGGTATATTAAAAGACGATATAAATGATTGCGATATATGTGGAAATAGTGGTGGTTTTGAGTAGATTTGTGTATTATATGAGTTGTACGTCCCTTGGTTACGACTTCCAAACTTTCTTGGAAATCGCATTTTAAGGGGCATTTTAACACAAAAATGCTACAATTTTAAATTTAAAACTAGAATTGTGTAAAAACAGTACTGACTTGTTTCGGTACGTCAAGTCACGCCTTGTCACGTCAACAATCAAATTACACGATGAATATGCCAGTAGCTGACATCGAATATCTTGTCACCTTTGCTCCATCAAAAAGCAATTTAATATTTTAGTGAAAGAATGTGTCAATTATAGCATTCTCATTCCCAAATTAAAAGTTCAAGTCTTAGAGAAATACCAAGCAGTGTTGATAAAATCCGCTTTTAAATTTTGCGCTTCATATCGCCGCCCAATGGTCATGTGACGTGATTCAACCAATGAGGCACTTTTGGATACCAACATGTCAGCCCCCAGTACTAAATAATGAAGGTATTATTAACATGGAATCAATTAAGTTGAAGGTTCTCAAGTCTTGAATACATTCAGATAGGACAAATTTAGGACCAGAGTGACTGAAAAAAGACGGAAATGAAAAGGGTATAAAGACCTACACCGATCTGCGTAAAACACACGGTCGAACAAGAAATTGCATGGTAAATTTGATTTAACACCTACGCGTCAGATAAAGCCTGTTGGTCCTTGATAAAACACCTTTGCTGCAGTTATAACACGCTTTCGAGAAAACTCACCAAACAAAGAATACACAGTTAATTAAAACACCCAGTACAGAAAACGCACCGAGATTTTCACCCCTAGCAATAATTAAATCACCTGTCAGTCAATTCTCACCCCTTTTAATTAGTACAGATTTTAGCCTTGGGGTATTAGATTTGTTGCGATAATTAGACTTTTACCGATATCTGAAGAAATTTACTATTTTAGGTAAAAAACTATACCCTATTTGCACAAAACTCACTTTTTATACTTCTCATTTTTAGACCATTGAAAGTATAAAAAAGCAAAACAAAATTTACATCTGTATTTTAATCAGATTGGTATTGGGACAACAGATAATTTTGCAGGAATATTACTGACATAAATTCGAATACCGCACAGGAATTAAATATGAAAAATAACGAGGTGCACCAATTTTTTTATTGCGTACAAATTTGAATGTTTTATCAACAGATGATTTTTAATTGTAGCCTGAATTCGTCTGCTTAAATAACGATAAGAGTTGTGCCCCTTTATTTTTGGTAAAAATGTCTGACAGAAAATGGAACTAAAACTATCAAACATTAGCAGACGTAATTTTTGAATCCTGAAATAAACAGAAATATGCCTATGCCAATACCTTAACATGTTCGACATGTTATATTGTCGTCATCATCGGTCAGTGTTTAAGGTCATGAGTCCCAGAAACCTGTTATTTTCAACAATTTTCCAGAATTGGGCCAGAGTTGTTATGGCCCTTTGAAAAATCTTATTAATGGTCATCCAATTGACTTTATTCAGTGTTTAAAGGTGCTAAAATATGCCTATGCCAATACCTTAACATGTTCGACATGTTATATTGTCGTCATCATCGGTCAGTGTTTAAGGTCATGAGTCCCAGAAACCTGTTATTTTCAACCATTTTCCAGAATTGGGCCCTTTGAAAAATCTTATTAATGGTCATCCAATTGACTTTATTCAGTGTTTAAAGGTGCTAAACCACTAACTCAATATTTCCCATAATATTGGAACTTAAAAACATGAATTAGAATTCAATATTGCTCCATTTCAGTCAATATTGATATTTTTATCTTGCCATGAAAATATGGGATCCTAATATGCAGTATTTTTAAGTAGGATAAGCAATTTGATTGGTCAAGACTGGAACATAAGAACTTTTCACTTTTAATTGAGGTAGAATGTTTAGGCTTAGATGTTCATTAGGTGAATGTCTTGACTGAGTTCAATCATTAACATTTTCCACTAAAGCTAAGCAGAGCTAAGCAATTTCATTGGTCGAGGTAGAATGTTCATACTTGGTGCAGGTGTCTATTAGGTGAATGCCTTGACAGTGTTCAGTCATGCACATTTTCCAGTAAGGCTAAGCAGTGATAAGCAATTTGATTGGTTGAGACTTTGGAACATGATAACTAAGTTTGATGATGAGAAATTTCTGTTTAGCCCGACTACTTTGGAATGTAACTACGGCACATATAAATCCATGTATAAAGAACTACACTTAACATAGACCAATCTGCGTAAAACACGCGGTCGAACAAGAAATTGCACAGTAAATTAGATTTAACACCTACACGTCAGATCAAGCCTGCTGGTCCTTGATAAAACACCTTTGGTGCAATTATAACACGCTTTCGAGAAAACTCACCCAACAAAGAATACACACCGTGTCAGTTGTTTTTAACCCATCCATATATTAACACACCCAGTACAGAAAACGCACAGTCACAGATTTTCACCCCTAGCGATAATTAAATCACCTTTCAGTCAGTTTCTCACCCCTGTTAATGAATACAACGAATCTACAGATTTTGGCCTTGTGGTATTAGATTTGTTGCGATAATTAGAATTTTACCTGTATTTGCAGATATTTACTAAATTAGTAGAAATCTATACCCTATTTGCACAAAAATCACCCTTTGATACTTCTCAGTCGAAATCTGTCCATGAATTTGGCATGCAATATCTTACAGTATTTGCAATAGCTTTTTGTGCCAGAAAATCCATATTTATCAAAATGGCATTACGTCCATTTACATGAATGGTCTATCTACAGTCGTTTTTATACGCCCACATTGAAATGTGGTCGTATATTGTTGTCGCACCCATCCGTCCGGCGTCCACAATTGCTTGTGGACGCTCTATAGGCTAAAGTTAATATCCGATTGACTTTAAATTTATACACAATGTTTAAGGTCATGAGACGAAAAATTCTATTGATTTTCAGCGATTTCCGATAATTACTGCCAGAGTTATGGCCCTTGATCACTTCAAATTATCTTGTGGACGCTCTAGAAGCCAAAGTTAATATCTGATTGACTTCAAATTTATACACAGTGTTTAAGGTCATGAGACAAAGAAGCCTATTGATTTTCAACGATTTTCGATAATTACTGCCAGAGTTATGGCCCTTGATCACTTCAAAAAATCTTGTGGACGCTCTAGAGGTCAAAATTAATATCCGATTGACTTTAATTTGATACACAGTGTTGAAGACCATGAGACGAAGCCTATTTATTTTCAGCGATTTCCGATAATTTTTGCCAGAGATGTGGCCCTTGATCACTTTGAAAAATCTTGTGGACACTCTAGAGGCTAAAGTTAATATCTGATTGACTTTAAATTTATACACAGTGTTTAAGATCTTGAGACGAACAAGTATATTGATTTTCAAGAATCTTTATGACTTGAACAGCTAAATCCATGATGTTAAAAGTTTTGTATACTAAACGTTAGCATGGGGCAGAACTTTATAAAAACCAAACAAATTCTAATGGTTTTCTGATAATTACTTAATGAGTTGTTACTCTTAATCAGATTTTAATGTATTATAAATGTTTCATTACCGAAAAAAGTAAAAATATGTGACAACTCTTGTTGATGGCCCGGACGATATAGCTGCTGTGAGCGTATGTTTTGTTGCCTGGCAACCTATCTTTTAATGAGATGGCATTAGTTAATCAGTTGTCAAGAAATATGTCCTTCAGTTCGATCTGTTCGATCTTCATGCAAATGACATGCAGTTATACTGTTCTTTAAAACTGAAAATAATAATTTTGATTGTTCAAAATGCAACATCTAAATCTAATGCTGTATATTTAAAAAAGAAAACTGTGTTTTGGAGTTGCTGGGAATTCAGAGTAATAGTTGTAGTATGAAATGAAATAGAGCATCACACTGAAAATAATAACTTTGATCGTTCAAAATGCAACATCTAAATCTAATGCTGTATATTTAAAAAAGAAAACTGTGTTTTGTAGTTGCTGGGAATTCGGAGTAATAGTTGTAGTATGAAATGAAATAGAGCATCACAAAAAGAAAATATACAATTTCATCCGATTTTGAATCGGTAAAAAAGTTTTGTAAGAGGAATGGTGAGATCTACTTGAAAAGCTAATAAAATCAAATGTATAATCATTATCTCAAAATCACCTTTTTCACCTATGTCAGTTAAAGAATACATTATAAAGAGTTTAATAATTGTTGGACATTCTTGCTATATGAGATACTTGAAAAGCTAATAAAATCAAATGTATAATCATTATCTCAAAATCACCTTTTTCACCTATGTCAGTTAAAGAATACATTATAAAGAGTTTAATAATTGTTGGACATTCTTGCTATATGAGATAGTAATTCAAAAATAGATAATAAATAAAGAATATATTGAAAAATTCAGTGAAATTACTTTATTCTGAACAGAGTTGTCACTGTTGGAAGTTTGGACTAGAAATAGGCATCAACTGTGTCTGACCTATCTACGATAATTGCTGATCGTTTGATTGACAGACGATAACTCCACCCACATATTCTCGATTATCGAGTAACATCTCAATGGCTATGGTACCCTCACTTGGTATATCACTATCGGAAGTTTCCGGTAGTGACGTTAGTGATTAACGATAAACGTTAGCTTGGTCGGCCATTTATTGATTTAATTTTAAATGGACGACTGTTAAAAATCCAAGCTGTATCCAAGCCATCCGATTGTCTACAGAGTTTGTTTTCAGCTTGTCATTTAAATAAAGGTCTAATTCGTAATTTCTATAACATCTGAAGCTTAAATAAAGACTTACAATAGGCAGATTTATCTCTCGCATAATGTATGTTTAAATTATGTCATTTCTCATCATTTAGGTAAAGCAAATGATCAAACTGTGGCTGATAGTTTTTGTGTTCTGGCAGTGCTATTTTTTTTAATCCTCAGGTACCTACATGCTTTTGAAGACTTCTATCGAAAATTGGGAAGTACAATGGGAACTTTAAGTCGTCCGGGAAGACAAAGAAACCATTCAGGAAGAAACATTCTATCCTTCCGCGGACGTGAAAAAGAAAAGACAAACAATCCCCGACTGAAAATAGTAGAGGTAAAAATAATTTTGGTTAGATTGAATATTTAATGTTAATAAATCCAATATGGTGGTTGTTAGACAGAATGTCCATAACAGGGTTCTTTATCCATTTTGAGATGAACTGGCCAGAATTGGGTCCCGGTAGGAACTGGGTTTTAAAATTTTAAGCTTCCATTCTATTTAATATAACCAGACTTCAACAAAAATAATTCTTGGTAATTTGTTATGCGGAATATAGTATACTACTGTATGTAGTTACCACAAAAATATGACAAACAGGTACACCGTTCGGAAAATTTTGCATATTTAAGTCATGTACAGACTTGAAATTCATGTCAGTAATATTCCTGAATAAATTATTGTATCCGTTTTTTTATACGCCCACATTGAAATGTGGTCGTATATTGTCGTAGCAACCATCTGTCTGTCCGCCAATTGATTTTCTCCAATTTCCGATAATTTCTGCCAGAGTTATGATCCTTGATCACTTTAAAAAAATCTTGTGGATGCTCTTGAGACTAAAGTTAATATCCAACTGACTTTAAATTTATACACATTGTTTAAGGTCATTAGACAAAAAAAGCCTTTTGATTTTCACCAATTTCCGATAATTACTGCCAAAGTTATGGGCCTTGATCACTTTGAAAAATTTTGTGGACACTCTTGAGGCTAAAGTTAATATCAGACTGACTTTAAATTTATACACATTGTTTAAGTTTATGAGATGAAAAAGTCTTTTGATTTTCACCGATTTCTGATAATTACTTCCAAAGTTATTGCCCTTGATTGCTTTGAAATTTTTTTGGAACGCTCTTGAGGCTAAAGGTAATATCCAACTGATTTTAAATTTATACACATTGTTTAAGTTCATGAAAAATTTTGTGGACGATCTTGAGACTAAAGTTAATGTCCGACTTACTTTGAATTTATACACAGTGTTAAAGGTCATGAGACAAAGAAGCCTTTTGATTTTCACCGTTATCCGATAATTACTGCCAGAGTTATGCCCCTTAATCACTTTGAAAAATCTTGTGGACAGTAGGACGTTAAACTCCATTTCATTTCATTTAATATCTCTAGAGGCTAAAGTTAATATCCGACTGGCTTTAAATTTATACACAGTGTTTAAGGTCATCAGACGAAGAAGCTTATTGTTTTTCAACGGTTTCTAATAATTACTGTTAGAGTTAGGGCCCTTGATCACTTCAAAAATCTTGTGGACGCTTTAGAGACCATAGTTATATGGCTGTCAAAAAAAATTGCAATATCGATATATTGCAATATGATCTTCCGTGATACACTGTATCGATACGTTTTTCCGGTATCGATATTTTTCTACTTTCATTTTATATTTGTCGGTTGTCGTAAATCTTATTTAGAATGTTTTTAACGCGACGTTCGTACTTAGAATTCTTATTTATTTTCCTATTTTAGACCAGTGTTTAAAATTTACGTCGGTCCGTCGGCCCAGCGCCGATAAATAACTTGACGGGCCGACATCTTTTTATTTTGAAGATGGTGGGTCGGCCCTGTGAGCCGACTGTTTTTGTCGGGAAAAATATGTGTCATGGATATTTTGTTCATAGTTCTATCAAATTCTCCTTTGAAAATATTTATATTGTCCCTATCCGTAATATATTTCATCCAGATATTTAACTGTATTTCATTATCGGAAATGAAAATAAAATTGTCCACCGAAAGAAATCATGAGTGAGTGAGGTAGTGCTTGCAAATATCAGCACGCTCCCAGAGTTAGGCAGACTATTATTTAACCATTTTGATCAAGTATGGAATAGATGAATGTGTGTTCAGATAGTATGCCTTACTTACTGTCTTATTTGTCTTTATCCGATATTGAATACACATGCATAATCCGGCATATTATATTCCTTCAATTGTGAAATCCAAACGTGTGCTACTAAACTAGGTCAGTCCATCTACTGTACTGTCATGAATCCAATAATAAAAATTCACATGATATAAATTCTTTGTCTTGTAAAAATGAAATTGAAAAAGCAGAGCTGAAAATTCCCTGAAAGCCTAACTACTGTTAACAATACAATTCCAGTGAGGTAAAAACGAGTGGCCTTTCCCGCCATTCTTTCTAAATCTCGTGATTTACTAGCAGACTTGATTATCAAGTCTATTTCTTTAATAACGATTTCACTACTGTAATGGAGACCCAAGTCTTCGAAAACAGGCACGTACAATATGTCATATATAGAAAGAATAACAAAGAGTTTATGGTTTCATAAATATGGACTATCCCAACGTGTGACATCAGGTCAGTTTAATAATGATAAAAAATGATGTGTCGTCAGTCAAACAGCAGTGATAGTTTACTTTCATTTTGAAAGAGGTCACGGTCTTTCATTTCACAGTTCCACACGTCATTATGAATGAAACAAATAAAATGATTGTTGCTACCGGACAGTAAATTTAACATGTTTATTGAAATGTAAGACATTAATCTATGTCTGGAAGGACCTGAAGGCCAGTTTTATTTCATTTCATTTAAATGAACAATATTTTCTGTTAATTTTCGGAGAGTGTAAAGGGCCATTTTAATCCGTAATCTTCAGATTTCTATGTGAATGGAATTTCGAGATATTATCACTGAGAAGTAGTAAAGGTGAGATTTGTACGTTTAGGGCATACATATCTCCCGATTTGGTAAATTTCTATGCATATCGGTAAAATTCTAATTATCGCAACAAATCTAATACGAAGAGGCTAAAATCTGTAGGTACGGTGTGTTAATTAACAGGGGTGAGAAATTGACTGAGTGGTGATATAATTATTGCTAGGGGTGAAAATCTCGGTGACGGTGCGTTTTCTGTACCGGTGTGTTAATTAACGAACGGGTTAAAAACAACTGACACGGTGTGTATTCTTTGTTTGGTGAGTTTTCTCAAAAGCGTGTTATAACTGCACCAAAGGTGTTTTATCAAGGACCAACAGGCTTTATCTGACGCGTAGGTGTTAAATCCAATTTACCGTGCGATTTCTTGTTCGACAGTGTTTTACGCAGATCGGTCTTTGTTAAGTGTAGGTCTTTATACATGGATTTATACGTCCTGTAGTTACATTTGTTCGTTCTTATATATATTTCATTTCTTGGTGAATACTACGTGTTTTATACTTCGTACCATAGTCGGGCTGCAATTATTTATATATTTGTCTTTTTTGTGTGATTAATTTGTTTATATATTATCGTGCGTACCACTGAAGTATAAATGCACGTTATTTACCGATAACCGGACCAGCCTCCATTGATATCAGACTAACGAATCTGTTTCGAAAAGCAAGTTTATAAATATAAAATCAAGCAATTGATGAAAAACTATTGCTTTCGTCATGTCTATATTTACTACACGTGGGCGTTTTAATGCATAAATGTATTTTTTCTTACCTGGGTTGTAAAAAGGACTATCCAAGAAAAATTTAATTTCCACATATATAACAAATGATAATTCACATATCAAATAACACTAATGCAAATAGGGACATGCGCCAGCGGTGATATTGTCCATTGACCTTTGACTTAATATGGAAATAGAGGCTTTACAAGAACAGCTAAATTTAAACACTTGTTAATATTTCTATTGTTTACGATTGTATGAAATAGCTTTATTATTTTTCTCCCGGTACTAATAAACTACGGGTCGAGTGGATCCAATTTTTATTATGTGATTTATCAACGTGATGACAGATCGAGAGTCAGGCTGAAATTATTTATATATTTGTCTTTTTTGTGGGTTTAATTTGTTTATATATTATCGTGCGTACCACTGAAGTATAAATGCCTGTCTTAAAATCAGTCGCATGCAATATCGTTATTACCGATATCCTGCTAAACCTTCATTTGATTATCCGATATATTCTAATCTCTATTGATATCAGATGCTCTAATCTGTTTTGAAAGCACAATTTTAAACGAAAAATCTCGCAATTAATGATAACCTGTAAGTTTCGTCACCGTTATATTTTATAAATGTATTTCTTACCTGGGTCGTAAATAGGGCTATCCAAGGAAACAGAATTCCATCACTATATAACAATAGATAAATCACATACCAAATAACACTAATTATGTCTAATAATAGGAACTCACGTCCGCCTCCAACACATGGAGCTGATCGTCGAACATCTTCTGGTATGCTCTGATTCCATCACACTTTGTGTAACAAGCTTGTCTTTGCATACACAATTCCAACATATGACGTTTGCGACCTATGGAAATATGGGTTTTACGAGAAAAGCTAAATTTAAACACATCACTTAATATTCCCATCGGTTGCGATTGGATAAAGCACAGGTACAGTGGATTCAGTCTCGTAGTAGTAGTTCTTGGTGTTTAACGTCTGCTTCCACATAAGTGATATCGCAGACAATGGATTCAGTCTCATCCTTATTATAGAATTTATACTATCCGGAGAGCACGCTTTTCACACGAAATATTGCCCTTTGATCTCAGACCCCCTTTGATCTCAGACCGAAAGGCGACACTGTTAATGGATTTGCTGAAATAGTTGGATGGAGTGTGACTCTTTTTACCTGTTTCACTTAATTCAAGGATGACATACTGTGGTCTATTCAGTGTTGGTATTATTGCAATGACATAAATGTATGTTTTACTTCTCTATCATCTCATTTGAATAGAGCTTGATATTTTATCAACATGTATACAATTTATTTTGTTTCTCATAGGAAATTTTGGTTATTATCTCAAATGAAAAAAAACCAGCCCAAGCGATTATATTATAATCAGAGAAATGTTCAAACACACAAGTAAAATAGACAAGAAAAAAGTACAAGCAGTACCATTATTTATTATTACATTATTGATATATGCATATGCCTTCATATATTAAACGTTTTAATTAAATTGTGACGTATAAATTATCTGCTGTATTTATTTTTTCTTTAATTGGCAGTTGATATGGGCCGAAGCATTCGCTTCGATGCGTATTAGCTCTGCTCCAATAATGACATTTTGTGTAATATTAGGGCGA